TCCAGCTGAATCAGATAAGAATGTCATATACATAATCACATTTAAATAAAGTGTAATTGATTTTTTAAAACTTTGGGTTAAATCTGTCTTTATAGCAGTGGTCATAAAAGGGTAAAAAGTGGTGAGAAATAAATAAATGTGAACGAAAAAATAGCCATACCATAACACATTTGAATAGTTACTGAAGCCTCTTTTGTGTTCTTAAACTCTTAATAAAAAAAAAAAATTATTGTTTGTGTTGGAGGAGAGAATTTAAGTAAAATGTGCACATTTATCATCATGCTGCAAATTGAAACATGTCTACACTTGGGACTGACAGCTCCTCACGCCTATACCTGGTGCACCTGAAGCCACGGGGATCTTGGCTTGGCCTCTGTTTTCATCTGGAATCCAAATCAGAATGTCCATGTATCTCACCCTTGTACAGGGCCATGACAGGAAATTGTTTCCATTCTGCCTGCAAGCCAGGTGATGCTTCATCACCAAAAAGAGTATAGATGACTTCCCAGTAGGAGTCAGTCCGTTGTAACTGTTGTTGATTCTCCTGACCATGAAGTATTATGATCAAGGCTGTGTGAATACTTTAATAAACGGCACCTTGGGAGCACTCTTTTGCACCAAATCCAAGAAGACACTTTTTTGTCCTTTTCTTTTACGTAGTATTCCTGCTGTATTTTTTCCCATGATTCCTACATAACCACTGTTTGAATTTGGGTGTGTTATCTTTCATAGGCTACCTTTTTTTTTTTAATGCATTTAATCATTGTGGTCCACAGTGCCTCTGGAGTCACTGTGCTCACCATGCAATGAATTAACTCCTGTGCTCAGGAGCGCTCTGTGTAGGCCTGTGTCTGGGAGCACTCTCTGTGTAGAAGCATGACCTGTGAAAGCCAGGGTGGAAAAGGATTGATGAACCTCTACTCAACCATGCCTTTAGTCAAAAATGCACATAAAACTGAGTGCTCAACCTAGGGCTCCATAGTAACTTTAGTTTAATTATACTTAGTAAAAATCTGTTCATTTACCAGTATTATCTGTTCCAATGCTTTTTAAACTATTGATCTTAAGATGCTCTATTTTAAAATATTAATTTTTACTATAGAAATAAAAGTGTAGTAGTTGTCCCCCGCTTGTACATGTTTAGAAGGCAAGGTTGTTGTTATAGCAACAACTAGACAGGGCTGAGTTTGACAGATCTCTGATTGAGATGTATATGGGAACAGTTCAGTTTGCTTATTTTTTTCTCATTTAAAAAATTTACTACTGTTCTTGACAACTTGAAGAGGTGGGATAGGAGTGGGCAGGGTGGCTCAAGAGGGACGGTGTGTATATATAATTATGACTGATTCTTCTTGTATGGCAGAAACCAACACAGCATTGTAAAGCAGTCATCCTCCAATTAAAAATAAATAAAATTAAAATTTACTGCTCTTCTTAGAAATCATGTTATCAGCTGTTGCTCAGAAACTGTCTTTTTGCTCAACACAGAGGTCATTTTGATCATGATTTGCAAGATAAATTAGTTATAAGTAGATGTATCTTAATAGAATGTTCTTTTTCATTACTTTCTTCACTAGATAAATTTTTTAAAGTCTCATTCTCTATCTTAGCTAAAATTTTGTAGCAAATTACATGTTTTCTCAAAACTTACGGAAAATGTATCAGGCACATAAATTCTTTCAGAAAGTAAAAGTAGCATATTTGTGTTTCATAAGACGCTGATAACTATTTTATGGCAATTGATGTAATTTAATGTATATAGTATATTTCAAATTTATTTTTACCAGTCATGTCCTTTTTGCTTTTAGCAATGAAATTGTCTACTACATAGCATCCTTCTGTCTTCCTTCTGAAAGTGACATTATTTCTGAAACTGTGGCTTAGCAATGAGAAGGAAAATGATGCCTTTCTTACTCTAAGGAAGGAAATGTAGTATGCTAGAAAGCGCTCTGAAGTGGGACAAGGAAATAAGGGTGCTGGTTCCAGCTGTGCTGTAATATAAATGTTTGTTAAATGAACAGATCAATAAATATGAGACCTTTGAACCTCAGTTTCCCAACTGTAAAGGTTAGAACCTAGGTTAGAGTAAATTATTATTAGTAGTAAATTATTATAGACTAAGTTACTCTAGGTTAGAGCAACTGTAAAGGTTAGAGTAGGTTATCTCTGTGTCTCCTAATAGCTCTAAAATCTCCTTATTTCATGTAAGCAGTGTCTCCCTTCTTGCTGGAATCCTTCACTGTGAAATAGACATCTCAAGGATTGTTATAATGGAATGCATTTAGTATTTAGTGTAATGATATTTTACCTATTTTTTTATTTTTACCTATTGTTAATCCATCTCCCTCTGCTTGCAGGGGCTTTCCTGGTAGGTTAGCTGGTAAAGAATCTACCTGCAATGCAGAAGACCCTGGTTTGATTCCTGGGTCGGGAAGATCCCCTGGAGAAGGGCTACTTGGAAACATTCCTTACATAATTACACAGGAAGTCTGTAATGGGAGTTGGGAGTGAGATCTTGATTTTTTTTTTTTATACCTTTTCTAAGGTTCTAACATGTGAAACTAGTTTCCCAGAATTATTTTGGTCCAAATCTGAAATAGAAATTTTTCATACATTTTTATGCTAGCCCCAAACTCAGTTCTTAATGCAATGAGCTATGTATCTATACATTAATTTATCTGTAGAAAATATTGCTTTAATGTTTTAAAACCACTGTTGTTGTTGTTCGGTTGCTAAGTTGTGTCCAACTCTTTGTGACCCCATAGACTGCAGCACACCAGGCTTCCCTGTCCTTCATTATCTCCCGGAGTTTGCTCAAANCCATGGACTGTAGCCTGCCAGGCTCCTTTGCCCTTAAAATTCCCTAGGCAAGAATACTGGAGTGGGTAGCCATTCACTTCTCTAGAGGATCATCCTGACCCAGGGATTGAACCCAGGTCTCCTGCTTTGCAAGCAGATTCTTTACCATCTGAGCCACCAGGGAAACCGCAACACCAGAGTGAGTTACATTCAAGTGTAACGGATTTGGTGGATTATAATTCAGACATTAAAATTATACCTATGAAGAATTTTTAATGATATGGCAAATTGTTTTTAATACAGTAACTGAGAAAAGAAATTTTGCATTATGATTTGATTTCAATGAAAGGGAAGTAAACACACAAGTTTATTAACTGTGGTTTTTTCCTAGATGATAATATTATTTTATGGTATTTTTTCTTTCTGTATTTTTGCTTTAAAAAACAAAAAATTCAGCTAATGGTTTTTTAAAAATTTTTAAATGTAAGTTACGTTGTGAGGTTTTTTTTGTGTGTGTTTGTATTATTGCAAATTTGAATGTTCCCATTTTCTCATGATTCCAGAGGAGGAACAACTCTAAACATCACAAGGGTCAACAAATGCAGGCGATCCCAGCAACCCTTTTATTTATGTGCTGGGTACTAACTGCTTGGGCTTCCCTGGTGGCTCAGGTGGTTAAGAATCCGTCTTTAATTCAGGAGCCCTGGGTTCTATCCCTGGGTCAGGAAGATCCCCTGGAGAAGGGAATGGCTATCCACTCCAGTATTCGTGCCTGGAGAATTCCATGGCTAGAGGAGCCTGGTGGGTCACAGCCCACGGTGTCCCAATGAGTTGGACATGATTGAGCAACTAACACACACACACTAACTACATACAAGAGATCTTGAAAAAATAAAACATATCTCAGGACTTCCCTGTAGGTCCAGTAGTTAAGAATCTGCCTTCCAATGCAGGGGTTGTGAGTTTAATCCCTGGTCAGGGAACTAAGATCACACACAGTGCAAGGCAACTAAACCCACATGCCACAACTAAGGCCCCACACAGCCAAATAAATAGTTTTTTAAAAAGACATATCTTAGAGTAAAAGAGCCAAAATATCTTTTGCAGGAAACAGGCAAAAAAAAAAAAGTCTTATGTAATGAGAAAACTGTATGAGGGGTAATGACACATAAGGGTGGCGTGGTCAACTCAGTCTGGGAGTATCCAGAAGTGTTGCTTGAGTCCAGAGTTGGGTTAAAAGATGGAGGCAGAGATTCACAGGGAACCGCTTGTAGGAAAGTCCTTTAGCATGAAGCTCAGTGGTGGTTCTGGGAATTATGATTAATTTAGTGACAGTGGACACAGACTATAGAAGAGATCAAGAGCAAACGTGGCAAGGAAATTGTCAGGAGTAAAATCGTGGCTGTCTTTGAACGTCATACTTAGTAGCTGGGCCTTTCTCCTCTGTATGACAGGAAGCCATTAAGAGGTTTTAAGCTGTGGATTTATATTTGATTTGCCTTTTAGAAAGATGCCTCTAGTGCTGTGGGGAAGAGGTAGTGAAATGGGAGGCTCCAGAGGGGAGCTGTTACCACCGTGAAGTGAAGCTGACCAGAATTATGACAGAGGGAATGAAGATGCAGGGGTGAACTTGAGAGACAGTGAAATGCCAACGTAGACCCTGACCCAGCAGGCTGTTGGGTGTGTCGTGTGAAGGAGAGGGGTGACCAGGAGGAGCCCTCGGGTCCTGGTGTTGTTGGAAGAGGGATTGTGCGAGGAGATGAGGGGAAGTATGTGTCAGTTTGAGATATAAAGTTAAGGGGTTGTTTTTGTCCTTTTTTCCTTCCCTTCTGTCTCTTTCTGCCTTTCCATCCTTCCCTTCTGTTTCTACCTTCCTCCTTCCTTCCTTACTCCCTCCCTACCTCTTTCTTTCTTTCTTTTCTTTTCACTCAGGCATTTAGTCACTCAGTCAACATTTATTAAGCCCTCACTGTATGCCATGCACTATCCCAGTCACTGCTGTAGGTTCATTATAAAGCAGGCCCTTTTCCGTGAACCCTCAGCCATGAGGGGAAAGAGGCCGTTTCCACAGCCACAGTCACCAGATGTCTCTGACCAGGACACAGCTAGTCAGACCTGAGACTACTTAACTCCTTTCAAATGGTGTTGCATATTACGTGTTTTCTATTTGGAAAAACCTCTAATGGCCATTTTCTTTCTAGGTAGTGCTATTATTTCTGTTATGTTTCTGAGAGAAAATTTGAGAACCTCAGATTTACTAGGTAAGTAAGTATATAATTCAGGTAATTAAAGCTCTGATTGATGAGGAAATAACTAATCCTATCCATTAAGAATATGTGTTTTAAAAGCAAGGAACAAATTACTGAAATGGATATAGTGTCATCTAGAGGCGAACATTATCCTGCCTTGGAGTTGCCATCTGCTCTTTGACATGAAATACGTGCATCTTCATTGTGGCCGCTGCCCAAGCTATTGACCACAGCAGATCATTATTGTACAGTATTATTACTATTGTGAATGTTATGAAAATTTTATGAACGTCATAAAATCCAAGAAAACATCTGTGTTACCTAATAGAGTATTCCACTTCAAAGGACATATTTAATAGATTGTTCCATGGAGGGACTGCATGAAAATGAAAACCACGTCCAAAAATTAGATGTACCAATTAACTACCTAATTTTTTGTTAGCCTTTTCCAAAAGTAACATAGAATATTGATCTTCAAAATTTTATTTAGAGGGAATTCCCTGGCAATCCAGTGGTGAGGACTCCACGTACTCACTGCTGAGGATTCGGGTTCAATCCCTGGTCAAGAAACTTAAGATCTCACAAGCTGTGCAGTATAGCCAAAAAAAAAAATTTTTTTAAATTTAGAAATACAGCTATTAATGAAAAATTACAGTAGCCTTACTGGCTGTAAAAAATGTTTCTGCTGCACGGCAAAGCCAACACATATTGATTGTATCTTCTATCTCTTGTTGGAAATATCACTGGTGAGAAGAATTATAAAAATTCATATTTTCTTCCTTGACAAAATCCTGTCTGAATTACTGCCGACATATGATAATGAGTATAAGACTTTAGGCACTTTAAATAAAGCCATGTCTACTCAGTTCCAAGGAGATCATATTAAAAAAAAACTGTTTGAGTTTAAATGTGACACCAGTGTTGGTATGTTGAACATTTGTTTCCCTGATCATGTTTCCCTTGAGCCTAGTGTCTTGAAGGAGTTTTCACTTTTTCTTTTTCCTCCTTGATTTGATTCTGCTGGTAGAGTTTTTTAGTCAACACTGTCAAATTTTCATGGTTAAAATGTTTTTCCAAATGCATTCATATGTGAATTGTGGCTTTTCAAATACATTATTTTTCTATACTCTTTTTTTGTACTATGGTTATGGCCTCATTTGGGGACGTTGTATGGAATCAGAAATAAGAATGAGCAATGCCTGAGTTTTATAGATTAAAGCAATTAGGTCCTACGTTATGTTTCTCATTTATCAAAAGTCTTATGGAAACTTTAAGTCATTTAATCTTACGTATGTCATCTTTTGTAATTAATGGCTGATTGATGTTTAAATAAATGTAAGGTATTTAATGAAGTAATACAGATGGATATAGAGAAAGTCTTGCCAATTATTATGAACCCTTGTGATAAAACAATGATTAAGCGAGAATCCCTGCCTTCAAGTAATATGGTCAATGATCAAATATATACAAAAATGCATTTTTAAAAGCAGAAAACAATATGTGTTATAATGCCTGAACCGTTAGTTTAGAACAGAGTTTCTCAGCCTCAGCACTACTAACATTTTAGGTTGGATAATTCATCATAGGGGGATGTACTGTGCACTGTAGTGTGTTTAGCAGCATCGCTTTTGGCCTTTACCCATTCGCTGCTGGTAGCACACTCTGCCCCAGTTATGACAACCAAAAATAACTTCAAACATTGTCACATCTCCCTTGGGGGGCGGAGGGCAGGCAAAATTGCCTCCGGTTGAGAACCACTGGTTTAGAATAAAGAGAGATTACTCTAGTTAGAAAGCTTAGAGAGGATTTTCTGTAGCGCAGATACCATTTGAATTAGTTCTGACAGCTGAATAGGACAGGCATGGACCACCTCTAAGCATCTGGAGGATGGCAAACAGAGGGAATAAGATGAGCACTGTTGACGAATGAAAAGGTAAGATAAGTTTCTATGTAGTACTGTGCTACAAGCACTGCCAATGAGGATTGGGAGAAAAATTAATGAAAGCCATAGCTATAGGAAGGAAAGAAATAGAAATATCAATATGTGCCAGTGATTTGATTATATTCTTAGAAAACCCAAGATCAACTGAACATTACTAAAAGCAGTAAGCTAGTTCAACATCAAAGGATATAAAATAAACTCACTCTCAAGGGTTCAAAGCTGGATTCAACTTCTGCTATCAACTGTGTGGCCAACGTATTACTTAACTTCTCTAAGCCAGTTTGCTGACAAATATAGAAGACTATTTTAAGGGTCAAATTGGATAATTGATACAAGCACTTTGAGACATGGAAAGCCCTGTTATTAATAATAAAATTATTATTTCTATGATTAACTTCATTCCTAGGAGGTAATACTAAAAACATAAGAAATAGGAAATACACTCACATACACATGTAACAGCAACAATGACAAAAACCCTCTGTCAGTTCTTTGATTCTTTGCTAATTTTTCTTACTTTAAAAATAACCAAGATTTATTAAATATCTACTTCTTTCAGGTTCTATAAGTGTTTTGCATGAACCGTCTCATTTAAATGTAGGAACATTCATTTACAGATCTGCTTTGTTATTGTTGTTTAGTCGCTAAGTCGTGTCCAGCTCTTTTGCAACCCCATGGACTGTAGCCCACCAGGCTCCTCTGTCCATGGGATTTCCCAGGCAAGAACACTGGAGTGGGTTGCCATTTCCCACTCAAAGACTTATGTGACTTTTGCTAAATGACTTAATCCCTTTAAGCCCCAAATTTCCTCATCCTTAAAATGAAGATAATATTACCTATGTCATAGGATTAAACAAGTATATAAAACTTGTGTATGTAAGACTCTTGGAAGAGGGTCGGTCATGTAATAAGTCCTCAGTAATGGCCGCTATTATTATCATAGCTATTAATACCACCACCCACCACTCTGTGCTGTTTCTTCATGAAAGAAAACCTTGATTAGGATATTTAGTGAACTTTAGGAATCCAGGTAACATTTCCCACAACTCTGATTGAGTTTTTTTGCCTTTTACCTGAATGCTTTTTGATCAGGGATTTGTCTGTTATCATATTTGTATCATACTGTAATTAAAAGTGATCAATTCTTGATTAACGTTACAGGAATAAGAAAGGACATAGTCACCGATTCCATATCCGTGCCTCTGACAGCAATACCATATGATTATCATGACTTGAGATGTTATAACCCTTTTCAGGCTTGGGAAGGACTCTTTCCCAACCATCCTCAGTAGTGTGTTAGGTCACATGTATTTTCTTGGGACCTATATTGCTGTTGCCTTGAGAAAATTTGGCTCTTTCTGTTAAAAGCTAAAAATGCATTGTTTTTTGTTTACAGGGACTAAGACCAAACAGGGAAAAGAGTAGTTAGTGGCATTTTATACAAGATTAACATATAAGCATGCTAAAAATTAAATTGTCAAAATGTGTAAAATGTATTTTTCCCTGCTTCAGGCAAATGAAAGTTTGTTTTTCATGATGGAACAAATGAAGATTTTTTTGGACCATGTGGAAACTAGCTGAACTAATTTATTGCCAAATGTTGATCTGTGGCTATGAAGCTTTTCACCACTAGCCTCAAAAAATGACCTCACAAAAGCTATGTCTGAAAGAAATCACCAACTATTATTAATTCAATGACAGGCTTTGGACTGTGCTCTGATTCTTAGTGGATTAATAACTTTAAATTATTTTAATGATTATTTTTCCTCTAAAATGCACCAGAATTCTCTCCCCTTCAATCAGCCAAAACTATAATATTTCCCCCTCTCCTCCCTTAGTCATCAAAAATACCGAATCTAATAGTCTGTGGGATCCTAGTTGACTTAAGTCCAGACATTGTCATCATGAAAATAAAAATTACATCAGCACTCTCCAGAGTAACTTGATTATTTCAAGTCACCTATATATGGTTTCCCCATTGATAGAATGTCAAGAGACTAATAGTGAGACAAAGAATACTTCCTTCCTTCCTTCTCCCACAGTAGAGGTCAGCTTGGTTTGAAGCCAGGACCTAGAATACTAATCTAGCCAAACAAAAAATCATTTCTAGTTGAGAGGACAGATTGGCTATTTGGTTTTAAAACTGGCTCAAGAATGGGAGACTTTATGATGGTAGATTCAGAACAATTTAATTTCACTATATTATTTAGATAAGTTAAATAAGCAAGGTGACAGTATACACCCTACTTAGTTAACTTATTGAAAGGACTGATGCTGAAGCTGAAGCTCCAATACTTTGGCCACCTGACATGAAGAGCGGACTCATTGGAGAAGACCCTGATGCTGGGAAAGACTGAGGCAAAAGGAGAAGGGGATGACAGAGGATGAGATGGTTAGATAGCATCACTGACTCAATGGACATGAGTTTGCGCAAACTCCAAGAAATGGTGAAAGACAGGGAAGCATGGCATGCTGCAGTCCATGGGGGTCACAAAGAGTCAGACATGACTTAGCGACTGAACAACACTTTTGAGACTTGCCAATCCAGGGCTTCTTCAGGACTTGGCCTTAAGCCTGAGGAATCTGAAGAGACTATACTGAGGAGAAGGCACCCTTCAGTGTGAAGGAATCCAGTTTATGCTGGGGTATTTAGTGGTATACCACTAAAGCAATAGCTGGACCGCCATTGATCCGGCGGCATATTGCAGGCTCTAAGAGAAGCAGACAGCAATGTAGGTTAAGGTCAGCTTAGCTGAATTTTTCAACTCTTGAGGCTATCAGAAGTCAGGTCAAGGCAGATTCCAGAAACTAGCTTAACCACAGTTAACACTAACTGGCAATGAGCTGGAGGAGTGGGGACACAATTAAAAGCGATTTCAGGTTTTGCTTAAGGAGAAGGGTGGGCTGGGAAACTGGATATCTTTTGAGGAAGAACTGTGCAAGTGGATTCTAAAATCCAAGGCTTGCACAAGTGAGGAACTCAGCAGGCTATAGATGCCAGTGAACAGACACATCAGAAGGAGCCTGCCTATAGGCTGTTTTCCCTTCCTCTATCTTTATTCAGCCTCCGTCCACAAGCATCTATAGGAGACTTCTGCAGCAGAGCTTCAGTAGCCTCTTGAAACAGAGGCTGTATTCTCACAGCTGGATCCAGTTAAATGTCAGGCATTTCTCAGAGTATAAAATATTCCTCCAAACACTACTTCAGGATGATATAAATGGTCAAATATGTTTAGAAAATATTACAACCATATCCTCCCCAAGGAGATTCACAATGAACGCTAACACATTCAGGCTCTCAGGGGTCTTCCAGTAAAATAGCAATTTAAATTTGTTTAACTCACCTCTTTCCAAATAGACTTGAGTTGAAACTTTTTTTGGTGGTGTGTCCATCTTATGAAACTGGGTTCTAGGGAACACCAGTTTGGAGACGTTCTTCTCAAGAAACTTACGGGCCAGTCGGGGCCTTAAGGAACCGCTGCCAGACGGAGTCTATTCCTTCTCTCCCCTGTGGAGATGTTTCATCCAGCCTCATGTTGTGCTCAGTACAACTCCTGGGGTGCCACTCACTGAGACTACAAGGTGAATGACAGACTTGTGTAATCCATTTGTCAGCCCTGGTCCATTATGCATACAAGAGGCAGAAGAGTATAATCATTAAGAACAGGTTATCTAGGGACTTCCCTGGTGGTCCAGTGGTTAAGATTCCACGCTCCCAATGCAGGGGGCCCAGGTTTGATCCCTGGTCAGGGAACTAGATCCCACATGCCACAATTAAGACCCAGCACAGCAAGTAGATAAATAAACATATATATATATATATGTGTGTGTGTGTGTGTGTGTGTGTGTGTGTGTGTGTGTGTGTATTAAAAGAGTAAGTTACCTAGGTTCCAGTTCAAGCTCTTCACTTAGCCCAAACAAGGTAATTATTCTGTCTGTGACTCAGTTTTCTCATTTGTCAAATACGGCTAGTAATAGTTTAATAGTATCCAATGTTATATATTATACAATGTACATATACTATATGTTAGTATAGTAACATGCAGTATAGTTATTTTTGCAGGCTTTTTGTAAGAAATATTAGTTGTGTTTGTATAAAGCATTTAGATTATGCTAAGCATTAGCTATTGCTATTATAGTTCTTATTATCATCACATTTCTGTGTGATGGTGATCATAATGTAACTCCCATGTCAGCCACAATTGTCTATAAAATCTATAGCTTTGAGCACATTGCTTAAAAAGAATGATTACCTTCCCTTGGCATTTGCCCTCCCAGTACACCTAGTCCATCTACTCCAAAGAGCAGGGATGAGCTTGTTTCCCTGTTTTGTACATGTGACAAGTTTATAGGAGGAGATTTTATTAATACTTGTATCAAGCTGAATCTGAAATGCCCACCAGATCATTGTAGATTTTTATATGACTTCAGTTGTATTTGATGAGAAAATGTATTTGGTGCAGGTGTGGGCACAAGGGTGGCAGATGAGCACACATCCCTGTATCCAGCATCCCGTGGTTGACGACCACCTGCAGCTGACTCACTGCTGCCTGACCGCTTCGCCTTTGGTCCCCACCAATGGTCAGCTCTCAGTGTTTTGTGTTCCAGTTCCCTGAGGTTAGGGACTTCCCTGGTGACAGACGGTAAAGCATCTGCCTGCAATGTTGGAAACCTGGATTCGATCCCTGGCTTGGGGAGATCGCCTGGAGAAGGAAATGGCAACCCACTCCAGTATTCTTGCCTGGGAAATCCCATGGACAGAGGAGCCTAGTGGGCTACAGTCTATGGGGTCACAAAGAGTCAGACACGATTTAGCGACTAAACAACAACAACAACGTGATGTTTCATGCCGCTTTTAGGAAAAGGTGGGATATAAAAATATTTTGCAGAAATTAATTGAAGCAACTACTGGTGGCTGTCTGCAACACTTTTAAACACTTATGAAAAATGTGCACATGACTCATGAAGGAGACAGTATATCACATAGGAAAATAAAAATGACACCAAAGAAACAAACAAATTAGAGCAGTTATCCAGAACTGCCTTCGTAAATGTAGGATGTTGCTGAAATTAAAATTATTAGCAAGAAAGAACGTGTGACCGCCTGAGCTGCCATAGAGTTACTCACTAGACTCTCAGTGATGTGAGGTTCACATGAGATAATATGTGTGAAAAATTACTTTGAAAGGGTACTCGCAAAACCATCAGTTGTTGCATTTGTTTTTAACAAGCTTTGGAAGGCGGTGAGGATCTGCACTGGTGGAAATGGGCACAGGCCGAATTGGAAATAACGCTGCCTCCATGAATGGAACACTGCAGACTCTGCAAGAATGAGGCTGCCCGACATATAATGATGTGAAACGTTTTCCGAGATATTCTTGGAGTAGAAAAAGATGTTCTGTTAAGTAGGAAAAAAGCAAGATACAGAAAAGTGTGTATAATATGCTGACATCATTCTGTGTAAAAAAAGAAAATCAAAACGCATGCACTCTCACCCACCCCTACCTAAAGCATCTGATAGGGAATTGATGTCTCAAGAGCCAGCAGCAGTAGCTCACTTTGAGGAGGGGACCTCGTGGGTCACAAGGATGTGAAAAAGAATTTTCCTTTCGCTGATCCCTCTTATATGGCTTTTCAGTTTTTTACTGTACGCATGTGTTATCCATTCAAAACTAAAATTTCAAGGTCTTCCTTGCTGGTGCAGCGGTAAAGAATCCACCTGCCAATGCGGGAGACACAGGTTCGATCGCTGATGGGGGAAGATCCCACATGCCATGCCGCAGCTATTGAAGCCCCTGTGCCCCAGGGCCCCTGCTCCTGCATAAGAGAGGTCACCACGGTGAGAAGCCCATGCATTGCAACTAAAGAGTAGCCCTCACTTGCCTCGACTAAAGAAAAGCCCACGCAGCAATGAAGACCCAGCACAGCCAAAGATAAATAAATAAAAACCAAATTCTTAAAAAACGAAATTTGACACTGGATAGATAAGATAAACAATTGGCAGAGGAACTCAATATAAATAAGAGATTTGGGTTTCACAAGAATAGGCTGGAAGTTTCTGAGATTTTGAAATTGTATTTCAATGCATTTATTCTGCTTTACTAAGTTTAGAAAGCTAGGTTTTTTAAATATCCCTTCTTCCTAGGAATGTAATATTGAACAATTATCTTATAAGATCTTTGGTTTCTTTTTTTTTTTTTTTTTGGTCAAAGAAAGGACAGACCTGACCAATAATTTTGCCCAAGTTCTTATATATGGTTTTTATTATTTCCTTTCATTACAGTGCTTAATAATGTATATTGTTTTCTTTTTTAAAATTCTCATTAGAAAATAGCTTTTAAAATGGTGTGTATAATTTCTGTCTTCACAAAGTAGTACTGAATAAATTGTTACATTAGAGTAAGCTTATTTTATAGCTCCTACTATACCATGAATAGCTGTTGTCTGGCTTGTATAAAAAATCAAATGGATTCTCAGAAACTAGAGTTCAAAACTCTAAATCATTAGGTTGAGAACAAAAGGAAATTGATGTCTTCAAATTATGAGATTGTATAGACAAACCAAATTGTTTCAGGTTGGAGTGTGTGCTGGTTGTAAATTATATACACAACAATGCTGACCTCAGTAGTGAAACAGGTTGAATTATGTTTTCAAGTTGTGCTCCCCAAAAAATGCTACATAAATCAGTTTTTCTCAGGCTGCTAATTATTAATAAATAATCAGTTTCCAGTGTTATTTAGAAAGCCAAGTCTGCTTCTCTGTGGCCACTTCTCCCCCACATTTTCCGTTCCTCCGTTATTATAAGTAATGTTAAAGTGATGACAGTAACACATTCCTACATAGGTTTATTATGTGATATTTTACCGAGCTATCCCTGGAATTCTAGATTTTAAATTAGATCAAGTCAATCTGACTCAGAGTCAGCATTCACTTTGTTATTTCTCCTAAAAGGACTCCCAAAACTGACAATGATTATGGTATTCATTTACCAGAGTTTCAAAGTGTAAAATACCCAAGTATGTGTGTGTAAAGGGTCCAAGGTGAGTAAGTGCAGAGTGGACCGTCAGATGATGTATTTCCCTACTCTCTGGGCCCTGCCGTCTAGATCTAGGTGGATCTAGATTCATCATGCACTTCCTGGTCCACATGGAAACAAACAGCCAGGTTGGATGTGTTTCCACATCTCCATATGCATATGCATATGTGTTCTGATCGTCCCCATCTCTGGGGAAACCTTCTCTGTAGAGGTCAGGATTCATCTTGAACAACAGAAAAAAATCAGAAGTTATGTGCTACCCCATCCATCCTGTGGCCCTTATCTTATCCCCTTCTACAGGTAATGTTGTTGGGTAAATGTGTGATGTTCTTGGGATGGTTTGATGGATTGTATTTTCATAGGCATCCCTTGGAGAAGGGAAAGGCTACCCACTCCAGTATTCTGGCCTGGAGAATTCCATGGACTATAGTCCATGGGGTCGCAAAGAGTCAGACACGACTGAGCGACTTTCATGACTTACAAGTAATGCTCGGTGTATAGGAAATTTTTACATAAAGAAAAAGGTTTGAATGGCCCCTTTTCAACATGGTTTGTCTTTTCAATTTAAAAGGTATGACGTTGGCATTGGCAGGAACATATCTATTGGTGAACTTTGCTCCAAATATAACTCAGGCTATCTCCGCAAGAACAGTACAGTATTACTTTGTTGGCTGGCAGTTCATGATCTACATGGTAAGAATTCTAAAAATTTTACTATCCTAGAAGCGATATTGTCTAGACCACTGGTACATGGAGATGTAGGAGAACTAGTATAATCTTTTCTTCTCAGTGTTAATAACTCATTAAAATGTAAATATATTTGACCAGTATTTGAAACACTAAATCAACAATAGAAGTACCCCTGTTCCCTGGGTATTCGGTCCTTGGGGATAACTTATCACTGGAACAGTTTCCACAATTTAATGGAATTTAATCCAGCAAATTCCAGAGTCATGTATTTTAGGACAACTTAAAAACAAAAAATAACCTCTGTTCCCAAGTCAAAGGAAAGTACCTGAAGACATATTTTACTTCACTGAATTTTATTTAAGGTAGGTATTTTCTTCAAAACAGCACTCATAGAAACCCATGCAATAGCCTGTCTGAAGAGAAATAAGATAATACTGAGAGGTGGGGAAAAGAAAAAATAGAATGAGCTGATGTAGAAATTGGAAGCCACTAATTGGGACTTTTTTTTGTAATTTGATGCAATGACTATGTCTGTTGGGTATTAAGAGAGAATGTGCTTGAAATAGTTGGCATATAACTTGTTATAGAGGTCAGTTTAGATTGAAAATTAAGAATATTCTAGAAAAGGCAGGCAGGCAGAAGAAAAATGGGGTTGTCTAGATGAGCATTTAACCAAGAACTGAACTGGTAAAATAGTTGTGAATTCAATAAAAAGAATCAAGGCACACAGAGTCATACATTTTTAGGGTTAGAAGTGACCTCAAAAAGCTATCAGGCCCAGTGCTCTGCCTTTAAAACAGGTTCAGTTCAGTTCAGTTCAGTCGCTCAGTTGTGTCTGACTCTTTGTGACCCCATGGACTGCAGCATGCCAGGCCTCCTTGTCCGTCACCAACTCCTGGAGTTTACCCAAACTCATGTCCATTGAGTCAGTGATGCCATCCAACCATCTCATCCTCTGTCATCCGCTTCTCCTCCTGCCCTCAATCTATCCAAGCTTCAGGGTCTTTTCAAATGAGTCAGCTCTTTGCATCAGGTGGACAAAGGATTGGAGTTTCAGCTTCAACATCAGTCCTTCCAATGAACCCTCAGGACTGATCTGCTTTAGGATGGCCTAGTTGGATCTCCTTGCAGTCCAAGGGACTCTCAAGAGTCTTCTCCAACACCACAGTTCAAAAGCAT